ACCCAGGGCCTTTTTTGTAGCTTGAACTCCTTTGCATGTTAGGCCACACACCCCTAACGTAGCCAATCCTAATGAGTTTCTGCTGTTGTGTGTGGCCTATTATGCTAATGAGTTCCTGCTGGGCGTGGCCAACTTGGGAGCCAGCCGGAATTCCGTTCCTGTGCGTTCCGGCCCCAAAATAGCCCTGCTTACAGCAACTCTGTAAGTTTTCATGGCTCAGAAGAGATTCGATCCCAGGCCTCCCCAGGCTTAATTCTGTACTCTAATTAGGATTGCCAACCTGCAGGTGGTGGCTGGAGGGCACTTGGAATTACAACTGGTTTCCAGTCTACAGAGATCAGTTCCCCTGCGGAAAATGGATGTTTTGGAGGGTGGACTCTTATGATATTATACCCCACCGAGGTCCCTCCCCCAGGCTCCAGCCCCAGAATCACCAGGAACTTCCTGGAGCTGGCAGCCCTAACTCAAATCACTTCATCACAGTGGCACTCCAAACCAAAGGGATGGTTCTCCTGTTTGCCGATGTGTGTCAATTCTGAGTGTCCTAGTCCACAACAGACCTCCTTTGCTGGCTTATAGGTAGGATGACCGATATCGAGATCACACTATAACCTACCTCCCATATTTTAGAAAGGAACTGAAGGAAATAACTGCCCTGTACAGGCAACTGTCCAAGGAAAGCTCTTTAATTTGGCTGTGCACCTACTGACAGTAGGAGAATATTGTCCATAAACAGATGTTGATCCAAAGGAGCCCCTACCCTAAGAGCAATTAAGTGGGAGGAATTAGCAGCCCCTTTGCATGAAAGTTAGTACCTGATTAAAAAGATACCAACTATCCTGCAATGGTAGAAAAGAGCAAGAGTCCAGGCTCACCTTAAAGACTAACAAAATTTGTGGCAGGGTACCAGCTTTCGTGAGTCACTGCTCACTTCTTCAGATATCTGGCTCTTGCTCTTTTCTACTGCTACAGACAGACTAACATGGCTACCTATCTTGAGCTATATCCTGCAATACAAAGGCATTGCAGAGTGTCTCACATTCTAAAAGTCTCATTGTTTTGAACCCTTTCAAGTCACATGCAGCTCAGCCTTCTCTAAAGTCAACGTACCCAACAGTCAGTGTCAACTGCACCATTTAAGCAATGTAAGGGAAGGGAGAATACAGCCCT